TCCAGGAAGAATCAGTGCCCAAGGTCACCCAAAGGCCAGGCTTCTGTGGCTAGCCCATCACCTTTGTCAGGAGTCAGCAGGATGGAAGGGGTCAGGGGCAAAACTCCAGGAAGGAGTCCAGAGAACTCGAGCACTAGTCCTGGCTTTTGTTTGCTGAGTATCCTCGGCACCTGAACTCCTGGTATATTAAACGAGGGTGTTAACAATCTGCACTTTATTGGGCTGCTTTCTTTTTTAATGCCCAGAACTTTGTTCAAATGAAATCTTAGAAAGGAAACATTGCACGAAATAAATAAAATGAGAGATGCCATGGATTGAGTGGACCCCAGCCACACCTCTCCCCACCCTCCATAGACATGCGGACCAAGCCCTTAGCCTGCACCTCACACTCCAGGACACCTCTGAACATCATGCCGGAAGCTGTGAGAGGAGGATGAAATGGAGTGATGTCTGGAGTCTGCCAGCTGAGGACCCTTTACCGCAGGCCACGCCTCGCCTCAGGGTGGTGCCAGGCGCCTCCCTTTGCCAATATTGACTGAGAGCCTGCTGCAAGGCAAGCCCAGGCCACTGTGATGCTGAAGAAGGGGAGGAGTCAGAAGGTCAAGCGTTTGGCAACCTTCAATGTGGGAACCAACACCTCATCAATGGCTTGGGGTGGGAGCACTCAGTGGGCCTGGGATCCCCAGGACTCTCAGGATGAAAAGGACACGGAGTAGGGACCCGAGACATCCTCCTGTATGCTGGAGCCTGACCAAGCCCAGGGCTTTGCTGAGCTGAGAAGCCTGTGGCACTCCTAGGAGAGTTGGGATTTGAACTTGGTCTGACTGACTTCGAAGGTCTCTCAACTGCAGCCCTGTAAGAATGAAACTGAGGGTTTGGGGAGGGAACATTACCCTGTTCCCACCTCTCAGAGTTCTGACAGACCTGCTCTCACCAGGGGTTTGACGAATAGCTGAGTTAGGATGAGCACTCTGGGAAAACAGAGTTTTGCCTAAATCCGTAAGTGGATTTTTGGTTTTTTTTTTATTTTGAGACAGAGTCTCACTATGTAGTTCAGGCTGGTCTTGAACTCACTAGTCCAGGCTGGCCTCAAACTCGTAGAAATCCTCCGCCTCAGCTTTCTGAGTGCCAGGCTCATAGATGTGCACCACCACACCCAGCTTTTTTGGTTTCTTTGTTTTGTTTTTTAACAGTTGTTCAGTGCTAATGCCTACCTGGGCACTCTGGTTGCAGAGATGAAAAACCCCGGTTCTATTTTTAGGAGTTCCCAGAGTGGAGGTTACAGAGGACACAGCGGGGACAAAGACCTGAAAAAGCATGGAATGCTGTGGAAGGTTACCCCATCCCTGGAGGGTAGTGACAAACCGCAGGGAGTCCCAGACTCTGGAGTCTGCATTGCTCCCCACCACTTTCTCTGAGTCATCAGCATTCCATCAGCTGGCCACTCAAGTAAATACAGGTTGAGTAGGTGGACTTCTTACTGCCCTTCAGTTTCAGCCATAGCCAAATGAGCAGATGAGCTCTGGTGGCCTTTAGCAAGCACTTGCAAAGGAAACTCTGCCCTGCTCCCTGATCCAGAATTTGACAGCAACTCTAAGGAGGAAACATTAACCCCATTTTGTAGGTGACGAAACTGAGGCCTAGGAACAGGGCTAGCGGGCCTCTTAATTTCAAGGTGAAAGGAAACCACTCACTGCATTTCAGCCAGAGTCTCTTGTTGCCAAGTCCAGCAATGATGGAGCTGGGGTAGTGAGTGCAGGAGATGGGAGCAGGAAATATCACTGGTCTCGGTGCTGTGTGCCTACAAAGGGGCTGGGGCCCTGCTCCTCCATGACAGCTCACGCTGAGCCTCCTGAGCATCCTGTTTCTTAATCTGGTGATATCAGACCCTGTTTCTTTCCCCTGCACTTACTGTTCATCTACCTGGAATGTAGTCTTGTTGCTGCTTTTCCACTTGGCAGGCTTCCTGCTTGCCCTTCACAGTCCAAATCCAATGTCACCTCCTGGGAACTCGTCTTTGTCCCCAGGCAACTTTCAAAAATCTTCCTCTCTAGAGTACTCTCACTTCCTCCTCATACCACCCCCTTTGAAGCCCATACCACACTCGCTCCCTGTTGTCTTTGAGTGCCTCACCTCTGGGCCTCCACGGGTCCCTCACTGCACTGCCAGCCCTTTCCGTGACGTCAGAACTTGGGTCTGTTTGATGCGGTCTGGGGTCTGCAGCACAGGCCACTGAGTATTTTAGTGAGTTCTAAAGCAGCAGCTTACCTGGGGGAATGTGAATATAACCCAGGACATCATTGGCAAGTTTTCTAAAGTAAAATTTGACCATGGCCTGTCAATGGCAAAGTTCTGTAGCAGGATTTATTCTTGGCTCCCACTGCCAGGTGAACAGCTGCTTAATAGGGCCCCAAGAATGGCTTCAGAGGTCCAAGAACCTCTGGAACATCAGAGCCCAACTTTTTTTTTTTTTTTTTTTGGTACCAGGGATTGAACTTGGGACCTTGCACTTGCGAAGCAGGTGCAGAACCACGGAGCTAAATCCCTGGCCCAGAGCCAGACTTTTAAAACAAGGCCTGCAGTATTGGAATGGTCCACATATAACCTCTGCTGCAGCATCATTCGCTGAGCTGCACTAGCATAATTTTTCTTTAAGTATTTTTACTTAAATTGCTTTGTTCTAGTAATGTGAAGCCATAGGGCTTATAAAAATAATAATATTTTGAATAGTTGATCCATTCACATGGTTCAGAATTCAGAAATGGGCCAAAAGGGATAAAATGAAGTTTTCCCTCTGTCCCATCCGTTGCCATCAAGGCCTGCAGTATTGGAATGGTCCACATATAACCTCTGCTGCAGCATCATTCGCTGAGCTGCACTAGCATAATTTTTCTTTAAGTATTTTTACTTAAATTGCTTTGTTCTAGTAATGTGAAGCCATAGGGCTTATAAAAAAATAATATTTTGAATAGTTGATCCATTCACATGGTTCAGAATTCAGAAATGGGCCAAAAGGGATAAAATGAAGTTTTCCCTCTGTCCCATCCGTTGCCACCCAGGTCCTCTAAGTTACAGCACGTCATTACTTTCTTTCATGTGCATTCTTCAAGGCAGACATGCATCTCCCGCAGCCCTGTCAATTTTGGTTTTGTACACAGAAGGTAGTATAAAATACACAACTCTGAAACTTGCTTTTTAAAACTAACTTGGAGTGTCACCGATCAATACATGAAAAGCTTTATCTTTATATATTTCATTACATAGCTACTATGTCACATCTCATTAAATCATAGGTTTGCATTGCTAGTTTTTGTCTCCATTCTAATATGTACCAGGAAAATGTCCATCTTGTGCACCAGAAGTATCACACCCTGGATGACTCTGAGCTCATGCATGCAACTCCCCAAACAACCCAGCACATGCCAGGGCCAGCTGTCACTGCCCAGCCCTCCAGTTCATGCTGAGTGCCATACGCACCACAGACTCTTCAGTTACCAGTGGTCATCTGTGACCTAGTCTGGCTGGTCCGCTGCCTGGCTGGGGACCACCAGATGTTTGTCACTGGCTCACCGGCCACTCACTGTATGGAGTGAATTCTTTAGTCCCCTAAAGAATTGTGAGAAGGGAGGTTTTGGGCGACCTTTTGAGTTGAGCTGTGAAAGACAGGACTTAAAGGGACTGCCATGCACCAGGGCAGGAGGAAGGTCCTTGCATGTAAGATGAGCATCCAGGGTTTATCCATGGAGGGGGCAAGCAGACAGACAGGCTCAGCATGATATAGAATGGGCTCTGAGCTGTACCCTCAGGCCTGGCAAAGCCTCTTTCCTTTCTTAGCCTCTGACATGAAAGTCTGGCTTTTGCAATCCTTGCCTTGCGGGCTTCTAGAGGCTGCATGAGTTCTGATTAACAGCTATGCCCAGTTTATCTGTGATCTTAAAGTCAGGGCTGCTTCTGGGTACTGTGGAGAAACAGGCCTGGAGACCCAGAGCAAGCCTGTGGCTGGGCTGAGACTATATGTTAGTATGCTAGCATCTCCAGACTCCTGAGGTTCAGGCTGCTGAGCCTTCCTTCCCTGACTGCAGTGCCCAGCCTAGTGAGCTGCAGAGTGACGCCAGCCATTTCTCAGGCATGCCTCCTCAGACTCCATACTCCTATAGCCAATTAAGGGCCTGCCACATATCACATTTCATGGCTCCTTCATTTTAAAAGCCACAAAGTCTCTACCATTCTCTAGCCAGGTGGACAGCTGGCTGGCCTTTCACCTATGTGTAAGCAGGGCCTTTCACCTGCTGGCCTCTTCCCTTCCTGCTGCCTCATGCCTTTGGCTGCCAGGGGACAGAACTTTACCGTCCTTTTTCTCCTGTAGCCCTTTGTCCATTAGAAATATTTTGACGCAACACTTGTACTCAAACTTGTATTGTGTTCTTTTCCAAAGCACTCTTCTAGCTGGTGTTTCGTCTGTGTCCAGATAACCCTTGGAAACTTGTAGTTTAAGGGGGCATTGCTGTGTGAGGGGCACTGAATGGGAAGTCCAGAGCTGGGGCTTTTCTGGAGACCCCTGAGTGATCTGGGACTTGTTTTGTCCTCCTAACTAGGTTTTCCTGCCCTGGGAATGGTGGGTAATGGCAGGCAGGCAGGACCATGTCTCCAAAGCTGACTGTTCCCATTTTGTAGATAAGCATACAGAGAGTAGAGAAAGTAGTGGGGCAGGGTTCACAGAGCAAGTAGGGAGATGGGCTGGAATCAGAGGTCAACACCTTTGGCTCCAAATCCAGGACACCTCCTCTCTACCTATGCTGTTCCCTTCTTGTAATTTGGCCCCCCTTGCATGGCAGGGTTGATTCCTGGGCCTCCTAATCAGAGTCTGGAGTCCAAGTATGGCCCTATCAGGAGAATGAGACCCCAGAGAATCAAAGGCCTCTCTGTAGCCAGAGGGAGAAGATCACAATTGCCTTCTCTCACCAGGAAAAGTTGTAGAAGTCAGCTGGGCCAGTTCGGGCATCTGAGGTCAGGAAATGGCCGAGTTTTCCCAGAGGAGAACAGGTGTTGAACTAAAGTCAAGCAAAACATCTGAACATGGGAACCTTCCAGCCTCAGCCCTGCTCTGTGGTAACCTGGGCTCAGACATGCCTGTGACTGTGTGGTTTATTTCTCTACAGAAGGTGACAGGCCGCCTCATGCTATCCGTGGGAGGGGCAGTGCTTGGATCTCTGCAGTTTGGCTACAACACTGGTGTCATCAATGCCCCCCAGAAGGTGAGTACCACACCACACCACCATGGCCTCTAGACACCAGCTTGCTCTGCTACACCACGAGTGTGTGTGCGCACACACGCACATGCTCACACTGCTACCTGGGTATCAGAATCATTGACATCAGCTTACCTGTCAGCCTCCCCAGCCGGCACTATAGAATCTCAGGGCCCACGGAATCCTGGGGGCCACAGAATCCTAGGGCTTTTAGATCATCATGACCAACCTCCCACCCTACACAGACATTTATGATAATTAAAGCAACACTCACTTTCATGTTGCTGTACTGCAGTGTAATTCTGTGTCTCTGAGGGCACTCCTGGTTCTTATCTTGCTTGGTGCCCACTGTGAACTCCAGGGTGGGCAGGCAGGTCAGCAGCAGACATTTCTCCCTTTCTACGGGATGGAGGATGGCCATAGAGTAGAAACTCACCCAGCCAGTCAGGCAGAGCTGGTGCCTGACACCTCCCCATCGGGCCCTTGATGCTCACACCCGCTTCTACTCACAGCACTCCCCTGAGTAAGGCATTCAATTCTGGGCTAAAACTGCATCCTCCCCCTGGAGGCCCAGTGCCAATCCAAGCAGAAATGGCATCTTGCTCCAGGGAAATGCAGGGGTGGAGGTCTGACTTTTTTCCCCACAGTGCATCCTAAGCCTGCCATCACTTGTTCCTTGGCACATCAAGACTGGAAGGGAGGGACCCTGGCCACCCTGTCTAGCCCCACCTTTGCTTTAGGGAAGAGAGGAAAAGAGAAGGGGTATAGGGGAAGAAAAGGAAATTGTAACAGAGTCCCTTTGTACCAGGTGATTTTCATGTATGCATTTATAAAGTTGAGTGGTGGTTTCTACCTTATAGATCCAGAAATTTGAGTATGAGGCATCTGAGGCAACTGTTCAGCAGGCCCAAGGACACATACTAGTGAATGGTGGAGTCAGAAGCCAAGTTCTTTTGTTTCCACAGCCTTAGGCTGTCTTCCTAAATAATTGCCCTGTCATTTAAAAATGCCTTCACAGGTAGGATGAAATGAGAGTGGAGTCCTCCTGTCAGGATCAGGCTCACTGAGTCCAGACAGGTGGGGCTGGAAAGTGAGTGTGACTGATCCTGAGGACAGGTTCCTGTCTGAGGAAGTGGGCAGTGTGTGGACCCAGGGCTGAGCTTATTCCAAGTGGGCGGAGGGTGGCTGCGTGGCCACGCCTGGTTCTGGGGAGCAGGCCACTGGGAGCTCTTGGCTTGCCAAGTCATGCTCAGCTCCAGTAGCACTGACAGGGACTTTTCTGAGCTTGCCTAACATGGTGACTGTGGGTCCATGCTTGGAACAGCCCCTAGCTCAGCTTTGCTAAGTGCTCTGAACAGCTCTTGCCAAGGTGTGTGCGTTGGAGTTGGCTTCCTTTGGGAATCTGTACAGATAGGGTACAGATGAGGAGGAAAACAGGGAACCTGAGCTCTCTGCCTTGGTGACACTTTGAGGTCCCCTGGACACTCTCCAGATTCTGATTTAATTGATCTGGGATCAGTATAAAGCTTCCTAAATGACTAATGTGTGGCCAAAGTTGAGAAATACTGGATTAAGTGATGATGACTTTACTGTGGTCACAGAGTAAGTCAACAACAGAACTAGGACTCTAAAAGGAGGGATAGAAGAGGTGTGTTCCAAAAACAGAACAGGGTAGGAAGGGTGGGTAGGGAGTCTGCAGAGGAGGGAGTAAAAAGCCCAGAGGGAAGATAGCCAGCTATTCAGTAAATGGTGACTAGTTTGGGGTGTCTACATGGAGGAGAGGGTGAGTTGGGGAGCCTAACACCAGCCGAAGTGGGGCTGTTGTGGGCCTTGTGGTTTGAGCTACAAAGTATCAGCATGATGTGGCATAGTCAGAATGGCACTGGATGATGGATTTCAGGACAGGCATCATACTTACATCTTAGGAAGTGGATTCAGGTGTCTGGCATAATGGGATGGATCTGAGAAAGTAGGACTAGAGTCCAGGACACTAGCAAAAAGGCTGCTGCTGCACTAATGGCATTAGAACAAAGCTTCAGATGGAATGGACAGAATTCAGTCATTACTAGTTCTGGGTGAGGATGAGAGAAAGGTTCAAAAATGTCTTCTTGGAGATGTGTGATTTTGAGGAGGAACAGCAGGGAAGGAGCTGGTAGATGTGGGATGTGCAAGAACCGGGGTTTAGTGAGGCGCCACTGGAGATGGACTGGAAGCACTTGTGCATATGGGTCTGCTTCTTAGACCCAGGCTGGAGAGAAGCTGAGTGTCCATCACTAGTGTCCAAGGGGGTGTGGAGGAAGATCTAGGGAGACTGGAGTAAAGAGAGGACCAAGGCTCAAATCCCTGAGAACAGCCCCAGAGATAGAGGAGGACCCTATGGGGAAGAGTTATACCCATAGATGAGTTTTGCAAGACAAAGGAGAGAGGTGATGTGGCCTTGTGGCTGGTGGCCAGGCAGAGTGGTGTGGAAACCTTCCTGTAGTGGTTGAAGAGGGAGAGGGAAATGGAAAGAGTAGAAGTGGAGTTGGGTGTAATGTGACATAGTCATCTCAGCTACTCGGTAGACTGAGGTGGGAGGATTCTTGAGGCCATGAGTTTGAGACCAGCCTGAGCAATATAGGAGGATAACATCTAAAAACAGAAGCAAAACAAAATTTTTAAAAAAGGGTAAAAAGTCCTTCTCGGGAAACTTGGCAGAGAAGAGAGAAATGAGAAGTCATAATGGCTGGAAGGGTTGTTTTTTGTTTGTTTTTATTGCATATGTATTTTTTCTGGTACCAGGGGTTGAACCCAGGGCCTCACATATACTAAACAACGGCTCTTCCACTGTGCCACATCCCCAGCACTGCAGACTCTAAACACGATGTAAGCAATCAGAGGAGGAGGAGAGGGAGAAAAATAGGAAGTGAAGTGGAGTTCTGTAGGAGGCAGGTGGTGTTGGAGCAGGAGCCAGGAGGCTGCACTGACCAGAATAGATAGACCAAGATCCTTCTGAGGATGCGAATACTCTAGAACAAAAGTCTTCAGCCCTTAGGGCTTCCCTCTAATCAGAAATCGGTGAAAGATTGGTACTGCTGGGGACAGTGAGCAGAACGGCTGACCAGGGCATCAGAGAAGGACGGGTGAGTACACACGGCCCCACTGAGGCTGTAAAACTGCATTTATGGGATCATTTAGGCTGAGCTGCCTGAAGGCCACTTGAGAACACACACATCTAGTGGCATTTCCTGGGCAGGCATGCAGGTACTTAGTCTGTTTAATTTCATATTTTACAGATATGTCTCGCAGACCTGGCAGGGTGTTTCCAGCCAAGAACAGATTATAAGTGATTAGTTTAACATGGGAAGAGGGTTTAGCAGATGGAAGAATAAGAAATGCAAGTTGGGGTTGTGTAGAATAGGTGTAGAGCAGAGCAGAGTGAACACTGCATGGGTAGGGCCTTGAGTCATGTCCTTGAGTCAAGGCACAGTGATTCAGTTCTGTAGTTCCACTGTGTGCCAGAGTCCACTCTAAACAACCTGGTGGGGGAGAGTATGGCCTTGAACTCTCTCAGGTGGTCTGACCTGATCTTGGCCCTGACCCCCACCCAGGACTCCCCATCCAGAAGGGGTGGGGTGGCCCCTCAGAAAAGCCAGGCACGATTTCCTGTGAGTACCCATGAGGAATTGGTTTCAAGACCCACCCACCCTCCTACACACACACAGATACCAAAATCTTCAGATGCTCAAGTCTCCTGTATTCCATTGGCTTAGTATTTGTACATCACATACCACATCCACCCACATACCTAAAATCATCTCTGGATTACTTATAATACATAATGCAGTGTAAATGTAACTGCCGTGTGGTACTGTTTGGGAACTGATAACAAGGGAGGAAAAGGTAGTTCATGTTTAGCACAGATACAATCTTTATTTTTCAAATATTTATGCTCCCCAGTTGGTTGAACCCACAGACAGGGAGGCCTTCCAGATGCTGGGAAAGCAATAGGAGGGAGTGACCGGCCCTGGGGTGGGTGATGGGAAAGACAGGAAAGGCTTTGTGAAGAGTTTGGCAGCCGACTTGGACCTCGCATGGTCAGTTGGCCTCACGGGGAAGGAGGGCTAGGTATCCAAGCAGAGGGAACAGCGCGTGCAAAGACGCAGTGGCATGAAGTGCTCCCCGGTGTGGCATTGCTGACTGCCTGCGCTGCCCGCACCAGCTTCCCTTGTCTGCTCCCGAGGACTTCTGAGGAAGCAGTGGTGTCTTGGCCTTGCTCCCATGAAGACACTTTGCCCACTAATGGTGAGGAGGCCAGTCCTGCCGTTCATTACCTGAAGCTTGTTCCTGCCATAAAACAGACCCAAAAGGGCTTCCTCCTGGAAGTGTCAATTCATCGAGATATTATTGTACATGTTTACAAAGCCTCTACCCTTAAATTACGTCTTCCCTGCAGCTCTGTGAGGCAGGCAGGCTGAGATGATCTTCCCCACGTGTAGAGGAGGACACCAAGGCTAGGTGAGGGTGCCTGGCCAGTGAGAGGCTGAGCCGGAGCTGGACTGCAGGTCTCTTGCATCTCCCACCCTGTGCCTTGCCCCTGCCCCACACTGAGTGATAATGGCATCCCTGGGACACCTGTGCCACGTGGTCCCTCTCCCTCATGAAGGGGAAGGAGGTAGAAGAGGCAGGCGCAGTCAAAGGGAGCAAATAGCACAAGTGTCCCAGGCCCACCTGCGGACAGCCTCTCCCCTCTACAGTGGCAAGTCACCATGAGCCTAATCACTCCTGAGAACAAGGCCGCCTCAGAAGCCAGAGAGACGGGTCCGTGGGAGAGGGTCCTGGTCCATGGAGGAGGTGAGGTCTGAGGGGATGACCTGGCAGTGACGTAACCAAACTGGGCTGAAAGCAAGGCCCCCATTTCAACCCAACATTGTGCCCTTCAGTTGAGCTGGCTTCAGGCTCCAGGCAACCTCCCTGTCTCTGTCAGCATCTAGAGTTTTGGGTCCCCTCTTTCTTTAACTATCACCACTAACCCTTACAGCTTACTAACTGCCAGGCATTGATGTAAGCACTTTATAATTGGTAGTCCAGTTGTTCCTCAAAATAATACCATTAAATGCACGTCATAATCCCTGTTTCGTAAGACTGGGGCACAGAGATGGTAAGCAACTAAACCAAGGACACACAGCTAATGAGTGGCAGAGCTGGAACTTGAACCCAGGAAGTCTGGCTCTACTCTGTGCCCTTGATTGCTGTGGGGGACAGACACAGTCAGAGATGGGCACCTTAATATCCTTTCACATGCCTGGGAGTGCCAAACAGCTGATCCCTCATGCTCTGCGTTCAGAGGTGAGTCAAGCCCAGTCATGCACAGACGTTGCAACAGTTTCCCACACAAGTTGCACCATCTCTTACACTATCACACCCTGTTATGGCCCAGTCATCCCTTAAGCCCCTCAGTTAGGTTTGTTTTTCTCCTCAGTAATGACTCTCCAGTCCTGTGCCAGACATTAGCAACACAGACCACGTCTGGGTTGAGGTTCAGTCTAAAGTGAGTGTGGGTAACCTTGTAGTTAGCTGTCTGTGGGCAGTGATGGAAATGGGGACAGGTTCCATAGGAGTGAGGATATGCAGCCCATATAGCAGGACTGCCTAACAGTGCTGTGGACGTTTCTACTGGATAATTCTTTAGCGTTGCTGCCTTGGGCACTGTACGGTGTTTAGCATTATCCCTGGCCTCTACCCACTGGATACCAGGAGGCAGTGTGACAGCTGAGGATGTTTCTGGCCGTAGATGTCCCCTGAGGGGGCCGAATTGGCCATTTGAGACCTGCTGCAGTAGGGCAGGAAAGGTGGTTAAAAGATGGTTTTCCAGAGAGAAGTACCTGTGTGTTCGCTGAGCCAATGACATGCAGATGAAAGCACAGGGGTGTGAGGGGCTCACTATGTCTGCCAGAGCAAGGCGTGTGAGTCATAGCGTGAGGAGGCCCTTCATCCTGAGGGCAGAGAAGGGCTTTGCCAGGGGACGCCACTATGAGATGAAGGCCCCTGCATCTACAGGGAAGGCTCTGGAGGCTGTGGGCCAATGAGCAGGTTGCTGTGGCAGACAAAGGCTCGGCCTCAGTTTGGAGGCCGTCCATGAGGCTCTTCCAAGGAGCCTGGGTGGTCCTGTCATCCGCCCTGGGTTGGGGCCAGCTTTTACCTCTAACCTGGGCCCCAGGGAGAGGCCCAGGGGGACCTCCACCTGGAACATCTGGCCCTGAATCCCTGGCTGACCCTGAGGTGTGGCTGAGTTGCTGTGGAGACGTAGCTCTACACTGAGAGTTGGAGGGAGAGAAGAAGGGAGGGAGAGGCCAGAGCAGGGGTCAAGGCCAGGCTGTGGGCCTGAGTTGGACAAACTGACCCATTCTTCCTCTTAACAAGCTGAAAGCCCAGCTGCCTTATTAACCCCTTTATCCCCCCATCCAGTAACATCTAGGAGAGAGGAAGGAGGGCTGAGAGGGAGCTTTTTAACTCAGTAACCTAGCCTAGGGCTTTGCTGGGATGGAGTAGAAGACCCGTAGGGTAGTGTATTCAGGGAAGGATGGTCAGACCAGCCAGAAGTTCCCAGACAAACCTCCTAGCAGGAGCTAGAATCCTGGATCATGGTTTGGCAGGAGGGTCAAACCCAGCTAGCAGCTTATTTGTGGCCCATGATGGTTTCACACTTTTAAAGGATTGGAAGAAAAACAAGCAATAGAGGCCACATGTAGCCCAAAGACCCTACCTGATAAGTCCTACCTAATCTCTTACATAAATGCTACCAGCTTGTGCTTTAAATCAGTTTGATTTGTATGCCGCCCTTAGACAAGGAACTCACCATTTACAGGGTGGGCAGTCTCATCCTTAGAGGCCTGGAAAGCTGGGCCCTGTGCCCGCCGGGGTTCCAGAGGCAAGCAAGCCCCTAGTCCTTTGTGTTCTTCCTTTATGCTGTACATGTATAGTCCCTAGGGCAGTAATTTGTCCCTGTCAGTATAAAAACAGAAACCCTGACTCTGCTGCTTCTCTGAAGGTGGTGGTTTCTCTCCCTGAGAGAGCAACAGTGATGACAGTATGGCTCATTCCTTTTATTCCATGCGTCAGAGACTGCTATGCCTCCTGCCCCTCTGTGAATACCTCAGTTATAGAGGACACAAGAACTTCCTCTGTAGGTGGCCAAATGTGTGGGGTGCTCGCCCAAATTTGCCTGGCCCTGGTGGATGGAGAGTGGCTTGGGGATTCCCAGAATGCTCTCTGAAGTGTGTAGCACACCCCCACGCCCCCCAGCTGCTGGGTTAGGAATAGCTCTTTCCTGCAGTTCATCCCATCCTAAGACCTGTGCTGTACAGCCAACAGCTTCTCACAGGAGCCCCCATGGCATCATCAGGGGGCTCCTTTGCCCTGTGTTCAATGAGGGCCTTCCGCAGAGATCTCCAGTAGCCCCTTGACTGCCCACAGGTCATCCTGGAACTGACCAGGACCCTCCCTTTCTCCCCTTTATGCTCCCACTCAGCAGACCCTGAGCACAAGGTGGAGAGGGTGTGAATCAACTAAGAAGGGAGTAGAAGAGCAGTGGAGGGCAGGCACATTTGCAGGGCTCTGACTGCCATACAGAGGAGTAAGTCACTGTAGGAAATGGTATCTGGCTTTGGGAAATAAAAGAGTCTGGGAACAGCATTTAGGCAAGACCCAGGGTAGGTGCTGCCTGGGTAAAGAAGTCGAACAAATCAGAAGGCAGAATCCACAGGACCTGGGGATCGAGAGATTTAGGGACAACAGCAAGATCAAGGGTGATTTCCAGGCTTCTGATGGGTACGGGAGGTGGGTGCGATCCTTCGGGAACAGCCATGGCTAAAGAGGATGCCCGGGACTTTGTGGAAATTGCTCTGTGGGATCCTGCAGACAGCAGGCTCCTCCCTAAGGGCAGTCACTGGGTGGCAAAGGTGACCCAGACTTTTCCTGTGTTGGATTTTTGTGACTCCAGGGATCCTCTGCCTTTCTTGGGCCAAGGGTCGTATGCAGTCCCCTCTAAGAGAGGACATGAAAACCTCAAACCAGTAGCAGGAATGGAAATGGGCCTGGCTTCTCAGAAATGTTACATTCCAGATGCCAAGGCAGAAACCCACTGCCCAGGAAGTGCTGCTGGTTTGGGGGGTTGAGAAGATGAGTCTGGACCAAGGTTGAAGTGAACAGAGCTGGCTATTCACCCCTCTGGGCCCCATAAGTAATCTGAGCAGCAGAGAGACTAAGGAGACGTAGAGGTTTGGCTCCTTTAACAGTCACCCTGAGCTGTCAGAACAGAACCCTCAGCATCACATTCTCTGCTCGGGTCAGTAGTTTCAGAACTTGCTTGCATTTTCTTTGCACACAATTCAGACAAGTCCCATTAGCTGAGCTGAGCTGAGCATGGTGGTGCACACCTGTAATTCAGGCACTCTGAGAGGCTGAGCAGGAGCATCACAAGTTTGAATACAGCTTGGGCAACTTAGACCCTGTCTCAAGTGTGTGTGCTTGGGAGTGCAGCTAAGGACAGAAACTAGGTTCGATCTCCAGGTTTAATAGCTGACTTCTTGGCAGATTTTAAAAGGGGCGTGGAGAATTGTAGGAGAGCGGCCCTTGAACCATAAGAAGGGCTGGGCAAGACAGACCTGTGAATTGCAGAAATCAAAAGCTAAGGACAGACATCTCTCCTTGTAGGTCTGGTCAGTCCCTGAGTGACAGAGGGAGAAAGATTTCCATCTTGATGCTAAGTCGGGAACATTTGGGCCTTGGGAGGAGCAAGCATCATGTATTTGGATAGTTCTGTTATCCAGAACAGCTTGTTCTCTGCATAACCTGATAAACGAGGCATTACTGTTCCTAGCTGGTCCTCTGCAGTTGGTTTTGTTCCTTGAACACAAACACTGTGTGTTTTGTTTTGTTAAAATCTGCCTTGTCTCTGTCCCCATCAGAATCAGGGGCTTCTAGGAGGAGTCTTGAGATTCTTATCCATTGATTCAGGCAGCCCCAGCACAGGCTCTGGTTCCTGTCCACAGGGGGAATAAATCCTGGGATCTCAGAGGCAAGAGTAACATCTTCCAGAGGCAGGGACAGATGAGGAAATGGTATGGAGAGCAAAGGTGTAGCCGCTGCTTTGAGCATAGAGGTGGAGGTAGAAGTCAGTGGTAGATAGGGAGATTGGGTTGACCCATGGCAGGAACCTTGATTTTTGAATTGTGGCATGAAGACTTTGGTAAGACTTGGTAAGACGTTGTCAGTGGTCCACACTACCTTGGGACCAGTACCAGTGAGTGTTGGGTAACTAGGGGTGGGGTACTACAAGGCACTGTAGAAGCGCTATAAGTAGATCTCCCTGACTCCTCACACCACTATGAATTAGACATAGTCATCACCATACTGATTTAGGTTAATGACTGACTGCATATGTAGTGGTGGTCCCCTAAGATTATAATGGAGATAAAAAATTCTTATGGCCTAGCAACATCATAGCCACTGTAACATTTTACTTTGGTACATTACGTACGTGTCTGCCTGTGGTGATGCCATTGTAGGCAAACCTCCTGTGCTGTCTGCTGCATAAGATTATATACAGGACTCAATACTATACATAACAGTACAATAGTGACTGATAATAAATGACTACGTTACTGATTTATGTCTTTACTGTATTTTTGTTATTATTTGAAGAGTATATTCCTTCTACATAGTTAAAAAGAAAAGAAAAGGGCTGGGGATTTAGCTCTGGTGCTGCCACCTCCCTTGCAAGCTCAAGGTCCTGAGTTTGATCCCCGAAAAGAAAAAAAGAAAAAAGCTTCTATGAAACACTTTGCTGTATTACCCCAGCAGGAGCAGCCTCGTACATCTCATGTTTACCGTATACCATATCTCCTGACTGTATCAAGAGGTCATGTCAAGTTACTCATCTAGGTTTGTGTTAAGTGCACTCTCCTGATGTTTGCACAACAATGAAATTGCCTAATAATACTTTTCAGAATGGATCTCCATTGTTAAGTGATGCATGATATCTCCATTTAAAGATGCATTAATTGAAATTAGCTGAGGATGAAATAATCAGCCCATGGTCACACTGGAAGGAAGGAAGGAATAGAGCTGGGATTTGAATTTGGTTGTGTTCCAACTCAGAGTCCAGGTTCCTAATCACTGTGCTGTCTGGTTTCCCTGGAATAGCCACGTAGATCCCTGGGGCTGCCTCACCCACCAAAAGCTATTGTAACCCCCTAGAGTCCGGACTGCAGGAGCTCGGTGGAGGCCCACCGATTCAAGACAGGTTTCTCTACATTGGGCTCAGTATACCCAAAGGGCATTCCAGGGACTGCCTTGATTTCCTCTCTGGGAAGTGTGGCTACCTACTGCTTCTGTTCTGCTAGACCTCTGTGGCTCTGGAGGGGCAAGGGAGAAGAAAGAGCAAAGATGATGGAGGATAAAGTCTGCATAACGCCCCTTGTGTATAAATAGTGCATACTTCTGGTGAGGGGTGTTGGCATGGTTGGGTTTGCATAGAATTGAATGGGAGTTGCGAGTGGGAAGGGAGGAGAGGCATGCAGGTTTGTGACTGGCCAGGCCAGGAGACTTCAGATGATATGAATATAACCGTGTGTGTATATGACTGGATGTGTGAACAGGAAGCTCCTTCTAGGCAGTAGAGCCTGTGCCTGGCTACATATATACTGGATGGGTCTGGCCAGTCTGTGTTGCCTAAGGGTAGAGAGTGTGCTGATCTTGGCATTGGTCCAGGGCCTCCCCAGGGTAGGGGCAGGGCTCTGTCCAGGACAGGTGTCTCCAGTTCCTGGAACTGCTTTACTTCCTTGTCCATTGCCTTTCCCTAGACCTACCAGCTGGGCACCTGGATGGAAATGTGAGGAGACCATGCCTCGGGATGGCACTCCCAGGCCAGCCAGAAAGGAACTGAGCCTGAGGAGCAGAAAGTAACAGTGTGAGCGTTGTGAGCATGTCCGAAGGGTGATGTGTGTGAGTTGGTCACACCAGGCAAGTGCAGAGTCAGTGAGTGCACTCCCACAGAGCCCCTGCATGGCAGGATCTGTCCTGTCCAGTTGTTTCCTCCCCAACAGGGGGTTGGCAAAAGGGCTAGTCTAGAGCTAGAGCCTTGGAACACCTTATTACCAGCTGAGAAAAGGCACAAGTGGGTAGGAGCATTTTCTCCCTGTACCTCTCTGCTGTGTCTGTACTTGCCCCATAGGTCATTTGACATCCCCAGCAATTGTGAACATGTGAAACCCAGGCACTAGAAACCACGCCTTGGGAGGAGGGTGAGAGCTGGCTCTCAGAGATGGAGCACAGCCTCTGCTGCTCACCTGAGGAAACTGAGGCCCACAAAAAGAGGGATGTGGCTCAAGAGTTTACCACAGAGATGGGCCCTGGGCCCTCCAGCATCTGGTGGTAAAGGACCCTCCTGAGGCAGGAAGCATAGGTCCTGGTCTCAGTACCCACCCAAGCTGCTTCTCCCCTGCAGGTGATCGAGGAGTTCTACAACCAGACATGGATCCATCGCTATGGGGAGCCCATCTTGCCTACCACACTCACCACACTCTGGTCCCTCTCGGTGGCCATCTTCTCTGTTGGAGGAATGATTGGGTCCTTCTCTGTGGGCCTCTTTGTTAACCGCTTTGGCCGGTGAGCAGGAGGGGCCCTGGCCCTGCCCTTGGGGGAGTCCTAAGTGGGAGTCGGGTAAGGGAGGGGAGACTGCCTGTTCTGGGGCATCACCTGTAGCTCAGCCCCTAGAGCATCAGGGGATCGGGGACTCTCCTGACCATGACTCCACCCCCAGGCGGAACTCTATGCTGATGATGAACCTGCTGGCCTTCGTGTCTGCTGTGCTCATGGGCTTCTCGAAACTGAGCAAGTCCTTTGAGATGCTGATCCTGGGCCGCTTCATCATTGGTGTATACTGCGGTCTCACCACGGGCTTCGTGCCCATGTATGTTGGGGAGGTGTCACCCACAGCTCTTCGTGGGGCTCTGGGCACCCTGCACCAGCTGGGCATCGTTGTTGGCATCCTCATTGCACAGGTAAGCCAGGGCTGGGTCTGCCTGGCCAACAAGGCAGAGTTCTCCAGTTAGCCTTCCACTCAGCCTTCCACTGCTCTGCAGAGGACAGTCTCTTAGCGTTCAGGTCCCGCAACATGCCAGGCTGTGTTGTGCCTCCAGGCCTGCGGGCCTTCAGGTGCACTGTATCCAATCTCCAGAACGCGCCACCATCCCCATCCCATCCCTCAAATCTTCCTTTGGCAGAGTAACCACCCCCATACTCTGTGCCAGAGACATTCGTAGCCTTGTCGAATGTCTTCCCAGTAATGCCGCGAGTTAGGTCCTACTTTCTCCTGTTACAGGTGAGGGAACTGAGTTTGAGGGAGGTCAAGCCTCATGTGAGTGGCAGAAACTCCATAACGAGCTCTTTCCCTAAGCAGGGCTGACTCAAGCAGGCCAGGCCTGGCGGGATGGCACGGGAGTAGAGTGCATAGAGGGGGACTCACAGCCCCTGCTTCCCCCAGGTGTTCGGCCTGGACTCCATAATGGGCAATGAGGAGCTGTGGCCCCTGCTGCTCAGTGTCATCTTCGCCCCAGCCCTGCTGCAGTGCATCCTGCTGCCCTTCTGCCCCGAGAGCCCCCGCTTCCTGCTCATCAACCGCAATGAGGAGAACCGGGCCAAGAGTGGTATGGGCTGGGCCCTGCCCTCCTCCCTACCCCCTGAGCCCTGGCCTTCTTCCCACTCTGAGCCACCCTACCTTTCCTCCGGTCCCACCAGTGCTGAAGAAGCTGCGAGGGACCGCCGACGTGAGCCAAGATCTGCAGGAGATGAAGGAGGAGAGTCGGCAGATGATGCGAGAGAAGAAGGTCACCATTCTGGAGCTGTTCCGCTCCCCTGCCTACCGCCAGCCCATCCTCATCGCCGTGGTGCTGCAGCTGTCCCAGCAGCTGTCGGGCATCAATGCTGTGAGTGTCCCACCCACCCTTCCCATGGGCCCAGCCAAACCCCAGCTCAAGTGTGCGCTGTGAACAAGTCCCAAAAAAAAGAAACCTCTTCTAGGAGAGGCTTCCTGTTAAGAGTCAAAGCCCTTAAGGTCACTGTACAGTGCCCATCTGCCTGAGAAGTATGTCCCGTTTGTTTTCACTCACCCTGTATCCCACACTCGTTGGTACAGATGCAGGGGAGGGCCAGACAGCCCAGCTGACAGCAATCTCTGTCTGGCAGGTGTTCTATTACTCCACGAGCATCTTCGAGAAAGCGGGAGTACAGCAGCCTGTATATGCCACCATCGGCTCAGGCATCGTCAACACAGCCTTTACCGTCGTGTCGGTGAGTGTTTGCTGTGTGTGAGCAGCCAGGGTCCAGCTTGGGGCCTTGGGACAGAATGAATGACAGCATTTACCAGGAGCCAGGCGTCACGTGCTCTGTAAGCGCTCTCTTTTCATTCTCAACAACCTGTGAGACTCATTACTTAGCACATAGCCGACATGGATATTGGGAAGAGAAATGGCAAATGCTCTCCTGGGGTCACAGCCGGGATGCTCAGCTGTTTGGGCAGTCTCTTACGCCCATGCTGCTGTCAGGTCTTACAGCCAGCTCTCTGCCCCTCATTCCCTGTGTGGCTCCTAAGCTGAGCCCCCAGGAAGAGGCAGTCCTGACTTCTGGGCTGTCTGTGCAGTGCCGTGCGGCTCTCTTGGCTACTGATGCTAGCCTGTGGGTGGGTGGGCTTCGAGAGGGTGACCTGACACTGTCCCTGTCCACAGCTGTTCGTGGTGGAGCGAGCTGGCCGGCGGACCCTGCACCTCATAGGCTTGGGTGGCATGGCAGGCTGTGCCGTACTCATGACCATCGCGCTGGCACTGCTGGTGAGTGGCTCCTCACTAGAGGTTTTGGGCGGGACGCTGGAGGGGGAGTCTACTAGGGCCTAGCACACTAGGTGAGGGCTGAGCTCTCCCTGCTTCTGCTCACCTGGCCTGGCGCCTGACCTTCTGACTCCTGGAGTTGTTTCCTTCCATCCCACTCAATCTCATCTTGAATATGTTCCTCCCTGCTTGGTCGTTTCTCAACAGAGCACCTCTGGCCTTAGACCCCAAGCTCTCATCTCCCCAGATCACTGCTAATATCAAACTTTTCAAAGCCTTTAACTGAAGCTTCAGTTGATCTTCACACCAACCCTAGAAAGTATTACTTCCTCACCATGGAGGTGCAGAAACACACCTGTCTCACTCCATTCTCACAACTCTGAAATGCAGTTCTGCTACTACATTTGCATTATTTTTTATCGGAAGTGCTCAGAGCAGAAGTGTTTTAGATGTTAGAGTTTTTTGGATTTTTAAATATTTGCATAGATTTAGGGATGGGACTCATGTCTAAACACAGAATTCATTTGTTTCATGTATAACATATATGTATGCTGAAAGCACTTTTATAATATTCTTAGTGTGCCTGCATTTCGCCTGTGACCCATCACATGAAGCCAAGTGTGGCATTTTTGCTCATGGTGTCATGTCAGCAGCACTCAAAAAGTTTTAGATTTTTGGAGCATTTTGGATTTCAGATTTTCAGATTAGGGATGTGCAAATATTCCCATTTCATGGGTGAGAAAACCAAAGCCCTATTTCAGATAAGGGATGAAGTCAGGAATGAGCCCAGGCCTACTGGCCTCAAGCCTACAACTGTAACCACTGTGATAACTTGTACCAGACACTTGTCCAACCTCTGAGAAGGGAAGTTATGAGTGCATTTATAAGCTGATCTCAGGCATGGGAAGTCCCTGATTGCAAAGAGAGTGGGCATGCAGCAAGTGATAAGCAGCAGATTTGCAATCTGAATCAAAGTCTTCGTCTCTTGTGGCCTCTTCAAGAGAATGATTATATACAGTATCATAGTGCCTGCTTCATGCCAGCCTGAGCTGGGCACCTTATGTTCTCCTTTTGCCAAAGACAACTTAACAGCCAGAGCCAGGGCAACACTGGAGCCTTCTTAGGCCCTCCCACATGGATATCATATTGCCAGTCCCAGAGGGTAGACTCAGACTTGGAACCATCCCATAGGACTTAAATCCAGGACCATTTGTAGGCCTCTTGCCTTCCACCCGCAAGCAGGAGCCTCTGCAGTTTCTGTGTACTTTGAAGAGCCATCTCAACCTAGTCTAACTCCCCAATCTTCCTCAACAGGAGCAGCTGCCTTGGATGTCCTATCTGAGCATTGTGGCCATTTTTGGCTTTGTGGCCTTCTTTGAAGTGGGCCCTGGCCCTATCCCATGGTTCATTGTGGCTGAACTTTTCAGCCAGGGTCCTCGCCCAGCTGCCTTTGCTGTCTCTGGCTTCTCCAACTGGACCTCAAACTTCATTGTGGGCATGTGCTTCCAGTATGTGGAGGTGAGAACCCCATTGTCTCTGTATTCACTATTTCTTATCTGCATGCATGACCCCCAAACATAGTACTATGTAGAGTGCTCTCCTAGCATTCTCGTTAGAAATTCATGCTGAGAAGGAAACTGAGGCTCAGAAGTTCAAGTTATCTGGCTAAGAACACTGACCTCAACTTCAGCGGTTTTTAGCTTGGAATGTCGTTCCTGCCTGTCACCTACCAGGTGTCGGAACAGGTTCACTTAAAATCATCATAGCATCCCTGGTGGTATTCATTTCCTTTTATAGATCAACAACCCAGAAGTAATTGATTCATAGTCCTGCAACTGGAATGGGGGTCACAATTTAAACTGTGTCTGTGTGTTTTCCAGCAATTGTGTGGTCCCTATGTCTTCATCATCTTCACTGTGCTCCTGATTCTGTTCTTCATCTTCACCTACTTCAAAGTTCCTGAGACAAAAGGCCGGACCTTCGATGAGATTGCTTCTGGCTTTCGGCAGGGGGGAGCCAACCAAAGTGACAAGACACCTGAGGAGTTGTTCCGCCCTCTGGGAGCTGATTCCCAAGTGTGAGGCGCCCCACACCACCAGCCCGGCCTGCTCCCAGCAGCCCCAAGGATCTTTCTGGAGCACAGGCAGCTGGATGAGACTTCTAAACTGACATCTCAGATGAGCCAGGCCTGGGTCTCCTTTCTTCAGCCAGCAGTGATGATGTCCAGAAGAGTGTTCAGGACTATAATGGCTCCAGAATTTTAACAAAAGCAAGACTGTTGCTAAAATCTATTCGGACAAGCAACAGGTTTTATAATTTTTTTATTACTGATTTTGTTATTATTTTTTTATCAGCCACACCCTCCTATCCCCACACCCCAGGCTTCAGTCCGAGTGGCTCAGTGCCTGAAGGTGGAACCAGGCCCTGTGCAGACACTTGCCTTCTTCACCAAGCTAATATTAGGGCTGGACCTATGGCCAAGGACACACTAGTTGAACTATGAACTACAAGGCTTCTACCCTAGGCGGTGGCTGTGACCACTCCCTTTGCAGGCCTGGATCCTCTGCCCTAAGGGTTGGGCTTCATTTTAGGATTTGCCCACTCCTGTCTCTTCCTCAAATTAATCTTTCCTTGCCTAAGACCAGCTGGGAGCACAGAAGTGCAGGGAGGAGAGGGGAAGGGCTGCCAGGTTCTAGTCTCCTGTGCACTGAGGGCCAGACGATCACCACGACAAAAGGCTTTGGGAGGCTAACTTACTGCTGAAGAAGACATGGACACTTCTGCCCTGCTGTTTATAGATGGAAGATATTTATATATATTTTTTGGTTGTCAATATTAAATACAGGCACTAAGTTATAGTATATCTGGACAAACCAACTTGTAAATACACCACCACACTTCTGTAACTTACCTGAAGAGATATAAATGGCTGGTTTTTAGAAACATGGTTTTGAAATGCTTGTAGCTTGAAGGTAGGGAGGTTTGGGAGGGCCTGGGAAAGAAGCAGAGTTGTAACTACTGCAGTGGTTGTTGACTTTCTGGCTCAGGATCCCATCCCTTCCAAACACCTCTGATCAATGCCCTTTGTTTAAAAATCTGTATCATCTATTATCCAGAAAAAATTCAAACTCTGACATTCAAGTTATTTCCATCATATATTCAAGAGTGTTCAAACAATAGCTATTTGCTTGGGTTTAATAGACATTACCTTATATGTGAAGTACTGTATGCATCTTTTTTTGGCTCTTTTACAAGCCATTCACTAAACCCCACCCCCAAACAAAATTAACCATGTTCTTTTATGAGCCTGGTGAGTTGTCAAGCTGCCTTAATCTATCTTTTGTAATTTCCCCCTCGGGTTCCAGCTAAATGCTGCCTCCTCTCATAACGACTTCTGACCCTCCTGCAAATTTCAAGACCATTTCTTTCTTTTTAAGACCATCCTCCCCTCTCTTCATTTCCTTTGGTACTTGTACCCTTCTACCTTTATCACAAGTCTAAATTTCTCCCATCTGTCTGAATTTAACAGGAAGGAACCAATTTGATTTGTGTGGGTTCTCAGAACTATTCAATGCTGTGCTTAGCCTACAACAGGCACCCAGTAGTTCACCTTCAAAACCGCACAGAGGCAAAATAAGTTTCCTTGGTCTGAGGGGGTTTTAAGGAGGAAGTAAGACGGGAAAAGAGGTACTTAGCAAATGTAAGTGGCTATCATCACTAGGTACTGTATAGAAAATGTGTGAGAAGGTGTCCATCCCCACCTCTCAAATGAGGAAGGGTGGGGGTTTTTAAAGTTTCTACTGTATAGAAAATGTGTGAGAAGGTGTCCATCCCCACCTCTCAAATGAGGAAGGGTGGGGGTTGACAGGATGCGCCTTTCCTGACTTTGGGACAAGGTGGTTAACCAATGGATGTAGGGCTGAGCCACATCCAACGGGATGCCTGTGTTCCCCAAAGCCTGTTGGAAGGAGTTACCTTTTTTTAAAGTTTCTTTGGGCCCCTGAGCGGAGAGAGGGGAAAAGCAAGGGGCCCAAGGCGCCAGGCATGCGCTCAATCCTTTGGCACTAAGTGGATCTTCAAGACTTGATAATAAAGGTGTGGAGCGGTTTAGAGGAGGGTGTCAGAGAGCTGCTCCGTCTCACTGGCGCACAAGGGTCAGCAAAACCAGGCCCCCGCGCCCGGACCAGGGGTCCGGATCTGAGTCTGAAACACCCGAGAACCCAGTTCTCACCCGCCCTGGGTCGGTACCCACGCCCCAGGCCGCGGCCATTTCTCAAGCGAGGTGACCCGCAGGGGCACGGAGCCCGGTCAGCCCCCCGCCGCTGCCCACGAATCTCCCGGAGGCCCCACTCTGACCCCTTTTCTATAAGGGGTGTAACATGCCTCCGTACAAGATTTGAGGCGCGGCCCCCCAACTCCCACGAGGGCCCGCGCCGGCCTGCCGCCGCTGCTGCGCGAACCCGCTAAGGTACCTTCGTCGACGCTCAGGAGGCGGGGCTGGGTAGCGTCTCCACCAATCAGAGCCGCAGTGGCGCCGTGTGAGGGCGAGCTCGCCGGCGTCGGCCCCTAGCGACCAGCGGAACTGTTCGTCCGCTTTTTTGAGTGAGTGGGAAGGTGAGACCTGCTTAGCCACGTACATCCTGCGGCTGAGCTCACTTGGGTACCTGTCACGCATCAGGTGACGGCCACAGTTTCTGACCATCAGGAAATGGGGCTGCTTCCTCTGGCCTCTTTGCCTAGGCCACCACTGCCCACGTTGTTTAATCCTTCATTTAAAATCTTAGGCTCAGGATGCCCCAGGGCCTTCGGGACTGCACTGCGTTCTGTATTTCCTCCAACAAAACGTGTTCCGCAGAGTAGAGGATTTGGCCGTCCTTCCACAGTAGGAAAGAACAAGGACTACATCCTTGGTCCCCAGTTTCCACCACAGGATATGGTCAGCAGTATTGAATGAATGGATTAGAATCTAGAACCAAAGATGTTATGAAATCTTCCGGCTCAATTTTAGGCAGAAACCCCAATTCAAAAAGTGTATTTACAATAGGGAAATAAGTATTGATTCTTTCTTGTCAAAACTGCACTTTTAATGACTCACTTTTTAGTCTGGTTTTATTTCTTAAATCCCCTGCGAATCTGCCCTTCTGTCCCTCGCTGCAGTTACTCACCATGCTATGGCCCACTCTTCCTTTCTCCCAGAATCACCGCAACTGTCTCCTCACTCTCCACTTTTCTTTCTCTTTGCCCACAATGCAAGTTTGATCATGTCTCTCTCTGCCTCTAACCCCTCTCTGGGTCCCCATTTTCCTCAAGATAGTATTCATCTTTTTATGCCTGAAAACTCAAGGCCTTTCACAATCTGTCTCTCACTACTGTCTCCGTCCCACCTTATCCACATCCTTCACCCGTGGAGCTATTTGTTCTCTGTTTTGCGGTCTTTTGGGGTGCCCTCCTCACCCCTGCCCGCATTTCTGTTTTCCACCAAGTGATCCATAATACCAGGTCGAAGCCAAGGAGTGATTGAGGAACCTGCCAGTTGGGGGGCTTGGCTTATCCGTCGGCACACTAGTGCTAACTAGTGGCTGCTTTGTCAGGGCACTTTGTCAGGCTGCTTTTAACCTCATTCTCCCAGACTGAGAGAGAACATAGATTGCTATGGAAGAGATCCTTGACTGAGACTACTGCTACATTCATTTGGTCCCTCTAGAGTGTCCATGGCATCCCAAGTGACTTTAGTAAAGCAGTGTTCTGACTTCACTGCTCTATGGCTTAATTCTCCATGATAAACACCAGTTTTTTAAACCACATGCTGGCCCTTACAGACTACACTTCCAATATGCTCTTTCAGCACACTAAACTTTAGACATCATGACTATTTACCATTCCTCCATCTAACTGTCTTTCTTATCCTAAAACTTTCTGTCCTTTTTCCCGGTCTGCCTTTGTTCTGTCTGTAACGTTCTCTGGTCTTATGATACCAAATAAATCATCACTTTCTCTGTGAACCATGGGCTCATTCCTTGAACTATTATTAACTTTTCCAGGCATTCTTCTACATTATTTGTAGTGTCTTGGAAGCAATGTGATTACTAGAGTCAGAAAAAAGGCTAATTCCAGATTCCTGCTCTGCTACTTAGCTCAAAAACCTCGGACAAGTCATTTTACTTTTCTGATCTTCAGTTTCCTCACCTTTTGCGATATTAAATTAAGTGTAATACAGGTGTCAGGTGGAGTTGCACAATCTTCCTCCCTCCACATAGTTCAGAAAGTCTAAGATTCTTAGATGGAATCTCTTCCATTCTCATTCATCTCTCTCTCTCTCTCTCTCTCTCTCTCTCTCTCTCTGGATTGAACACAGAGCCTTTCCACTGAGCTACATCCCCAGACCATTTTTTATTTTTATTTCAAGACAGAGTCTTGCTGGGTTGCCCAGCCTGGCCCTTAAATTGTGATTCTCCCGTCTCAGCCTCCCAAAATACTATAAGTATAGGCATGCACCACCATGCCAGTAATCTCTGGTTCTGAAGATTGGCATTCTCTATACCATCTTGTCTAAGGTTCTCAGTGCAAGGTATCTCCTATCATGAAACTCATATCTTTTCACTTAATTCATTTACTAAGTGCCTTCCAGGTACTAAGGATGAAGTGGTAAGAGAAAAAAAGATTTTAATTTGTGAGAGCTTACATTCTGTTGATTGCAATAAGCAACCAACAAATGCATAATAAAGTGTCCGATAGTGATTTGTATTATGGGAAAAAAAAGAAGCTAAACTAAGGATAAAGAGGATGATGAATTGTGAGGGCTGTGATGGGAATAGTAGTCAGTTTTAGATAATTTGAAGGCCTTCTTGAGAAAGTCGTATTTGAACAAAGACCTGAATGAAGTAAAAGAGAAAATCATATACATACCTAGGAGGAAAACCTAAGCAATTTCAAAAGTGCTAAGGGAGAACCATATTTGTTGTATGGCGGGATTAGCAAGGAGGTCCACAGCTGGGCCAAGGAGACATATACATGAAATTAGAGAGGTGGTAGGATGCTAGGTACGTCGGACCTCATGGGTCACATGAGAACTTCAGGTTTTATTTCAGTGTTGATAAGCCACTTGAGAACATTGGTCAGAGGAATGACAACCTGATTTATACTTTTAAAAGATCATCTGTCTTCTGTAAGTTGTAGGGGAGTGTTACGGTTTATATCTAGATGTCCCTTCAAAGTCCCACATGCTCACAGGTAGAGGTGGTGGGAGGTGGTTAGATCACGGAGACACTATTCTGTTTGGTGGAATAGTCCACCGATGAGTTTATGGCTAAACGTGCTGTTAGCGAGTAAGGTCTGGTCACCAAAAGTGGGTCACTGAAAGCGTGGCTCAAAAGAGAATATGTCCTTCCCTATTTCTTCCTTTTGTGCTCTGCTTTCTAGCCACCATGACATGAACAGTTTTCCATGGCACTACTTCCACCGTGCTTTTTTCTGTTTGAGCCTGATGAACATGGACTGAAACTTCTAAAATGTGAGCCAAAATAAACCTTTCCTCCTTTAAGTTGTGTCAGGTATTGTGTCTCAGCAACACAGAAAGTAAGACAGGAAGCAAAAGCAGAAATGGGAACGCTGTCATGAGGCAGCTGCTGTTGTCGGGTCTGAGAGGATGATGGCTTGACCTGTGTAGGAGCAGCAAGCAGGTGCGGTCAAAATGGAGATGGCATCTTAGTTTCAGCCAACACAATTCGCCGATGAGAATGTCTGTGAGGTTTGAGAAAAGGAGAAGTAAAAGACAGCTGGATTCATCGGTGTTAACTGAGAATGGGATATTGATGGAACTTGGAATCGTTCAGTTTGGGATGTACTGAGTTAGATGCCCAATAGATATTCGAGCAAAGACATGAAGTTGCATATACGAAGCTGGAGTTCATGTAAACCTTTACGGAACATTTGGGGAAAAAGGTATATAAAT